CACCCGTCCAGCCACCATCGCGTTGCCGCTCCGCTCGCACGCCGCGAATCGGACGTATTTCCGCCGCCGCCTGGTTTGTCCCCGCCGCAGCCACCACCCGGCCGCCAAGCACCCGCCCAGCCACCACCGCACCCCGCTCCGCCCGCATGCTTCGAATTGACCGTATTTTTCGCCGCTCGACCGCCACCGCCCGGTTCATCCCCGCCGCCGTTTCCACCATCGTCGCCACTCATCCGCCACCGCCAAGCCACCGCCTAGCCCTGTCGCAAAGCTTTTGCCCCGCGGCCGGTGCCCCGATTCAAACGCCGCTTTCGGCCGCGGCCGCTCAGTCACCCCAATTCTAGTTTTTAAATCTCCATTGCATCATCTATTGGAGTTGCACTTTTACATCACCAATTTCCATCATCTGTTGGAGTTGTCTCTTTTTTAGAGATGTAAAAGGCACTTTTTGGAGATGTAAATTTTTACACCTCCTGTTTTACATCTCCAAATTTGCATCTTCTGCTGGAGATGCTCTAAGAACTTCCACTGGAGTAAAAATTGGAATGTGCACGGATTGTGCAAAATTGCTGCTGAATATGTGAAAATAAAAGAACAAGGATGTGTAACTGCTTTTCAGACGAACAACCAGCCAGTAATATCATGATACAACCTCTTATCGAATTGAGAGAAACGAAGATTGAATATATGAGTTGGACACCTGAAATTCTGCCACATACATCCTTGATATATGCTATTTATTCTAACATTTGGTACATGCATGAATAGTTTTACTGTATGGTTTAAAATTATATGTCCATCAATAGTTTCTTGTTGAGTCACTGAAGCATCACAAGCTTGTGATACTTAATCATGAGGGAGTAACAAACTTTGAACTTATGATCCGTAAGAGAGCCTTCCTGAAATAGACGTTCAACATCAGTATTTAAGTACTTCAACGAAACTGACAATGTTGACTATGGAACTGTTCATTTTTTCTTTTGCCGAAACACACATGAATAGTTTCTTGTCCTCCAAACTGCCTGTGATTTGGTGATGCAGAATGAGCCAACACAAAGAAACGATTATTATCAATAAAAAATCGAAATGTAGATTAGTTCTCTGTAATATCAGAACATCAGTCACTGTAGAACTTTTCTTCTGTCCATTTGGATTGTACTCCACAATGTCTCCTGGGTTCAGCAAAGTTTGCCCTAGAATGTTTATTGTTCTTCAGATGCTATCAACACCTGTAATCATATTCATAAGCATTGTGGCTTATGAACTCTCATGTCTGAATCCTCCTAGTCAATAGCAGTTGTGCTTAAATGAATTGTTTTGCTAATTAAGTTACTTACCCACATCTTATTCTCATTGTGCAGTACTGCTGGTTGCCCCTTTGGTGAGGATTGCCATTTCCTCCATTACTTCCCCAGGCTGTTGCAAAGATGAGCAACCTAGGTGGCCAAGCATTTGCACATCCCCAAGGAAGAATGCCCGCGGGATCTGCTGTTCCAGATGGCCACCCTACACCAACTGTCAAGACTAAATTGTGCAACAAGTATAACACTGCAGAGGGATGCAAATGGGGTGACAACTGCCACTTTGCACATGGTGAGAGGGAGCTCGGCAAGCACACGTTCATCAACAACTCCATGCCACCCCATATGGGACCAAGGCCCACTGGCCACTTTCCTCTCTGTATACTGTACTATCGTATTTTAACTTGGAACCACGTGATGATTGATTGTTTTGGTGTAACAGTGCCGGAGGCATTTGAAGCAGGCGCAGGAAGCAAATCCAAGCCATGCGACATGTTCTTCAGGTAATCCCTTTCTGGGACAGCGTCAGCATGATCCGAGTACTGTATTTTCTTTATTTTGATCCTTTGTAGTACATACACCTTAATCAATCAAAAATTGAAAATTACCGCAGAATGATTGCTCTATGGTTTTGGAGTAAAGAAAAACATGATCTGATGCAGTTCTGATAACTTTCTTGTTCTGTTAGTTCAGGTTCAGTTACTACCGAAAAAGGCTTTCGCCCCGCTTTATATTATAAAGCCAATGCCCAAGCCAACATCCAACAAGGTTCAAGCACACACACAAACAACACACACACACGGTCTAGACAAATAAGTAGTCAAAGGGTTAATGCTGAGGGCACAGCTCAACAAGCCCTGAAAAAACACAAAAAGGCACACGCGCCGGGAGTGACACGGCATCTAGTCGGGCTCCGGGGGTGGCGGCGGGAGCGGAGGCGCCAAGCGGAAGGCCATCGATCGAAGGTCGGCGAGGAGGGTGCTGATGGCGTCCCGGTCCAGTGGGCGGCTAAGCGGCCGCCAGAGCTGCAAGTAACCACACATTTTAAAGATGGGGTCAGTAGCACGCCGAAGAGGCACCTTCTGAATGACAAGCTTATTGCGCACAGTCCACAGCGTCCAGGCGAGAACCCCAACGCAAAGCCATCTAATATGTCTGTAGCGAGGGGGGGGGAGGCCTGAATTTCCGCAAGCAGGTCAGGGAAGTTGGTGTTGCACCACTGGCCCCCAACCATTTCGCGGAAACAAGACCACAGGAACTGTGCCGTGTAGCACGAGAAGAAGATGTGGTTGGCATCCTCTACCGTGCCACACATAGGGCACATCCCATTGCCAGGTCCATGACGCTTAAGGACCTCAACGTCGGACGGGAGGCGGCCGCGGATCCATTGCCATAGGAAGATCCGGATCTTCAGGGGCAGGCGGATGTCCCAAATCAAACTGAAGGGCTCTGGGGCCGTCGATGGGGCGATAGCCGCATAGAGGGATTTGGTGGAGAAGCAGCCGGAGGGTTCCAGACGCCAAGAGATGATGTCCGGAGAGTCGGCCACGTCCATAGGGAGGAGGGCGATGTCCTGGAGGAGGGCATCCCAAGCTGCAACCTCAGCAGGGCCAAAGGGGCGGCGGAAAGCGAGGCGCCCTAAGTCAATAAGGGCCGTCTCGACAGAGACCCGAGGGTCAACAACGATGTCGAAGAGCACTGGAAAACGCGCGGCTAGGGGGGTGTCGCCAAGCCACCTATCCAGCCAGAACAGGGTCGAGGACCCAGTACCCACCGAGATGGATGTGCCAATGCGCAATACAGGCAGCAGCTGGACGACGGCCTGCCAAAACTGGGAGCCGCCTGAGCGCTGACAAAATGCGAGAGGCTGCCCGCGCAGACGCCTCTGGGTACCGCCTCTGGGTACCGCGCAGACGCCAGTAGGCCTCTTCATCTGTGTAAATGGTGGAGAGCTGGTCTTCCAGGTCGTATCGCAGCATCCACTCATCAGAGGAGATCCCGGTCGAGTCGGCGCGGGCGTCCAGGGCCTGGATAGACAGCAGGAGGGCCTTTTTGCGCTCTCTAAGGTCCAGGCCAAGGTTGGCCCCCCAACCCTTCATGAATTGGTGGGCAAGCTTGGCGCAGAAGTGCCACGAGTCGACAGCGGACATGGAGCGATGGGGAGCAGAGCGGGCAAAAATCCAGCAAGCGACGACAGCCTCCCGGAAGCCGGCCTGATTGAGCCAGAAGGGCTCGAACCGGAACCGCGGCGGGGTGGGGGGTCGCTCGTCGGCGGTGGAGAGGAGGAGGGGGACATGGTCAGAACCGATCCGGGTGACAGCCCGGAGCGATGCCAGGGGGCAGCGTAACTCCCACTCAGGGGAAACTAGGACACGATCCAAGACGGATTGTGTCGGGACAGATTGCCGGTTCGTCCAGGTGAACCTGGCACCCGTCCGGTCAAAGCTCGCGGAGCCACAACTCTGCGATCCAATCGTTGAATAATTGCATCTGGGGGAGTGCAAGAACAGTATAGGTTGCGATCCGGTCAAGCTCAGGCCCCTCCAAGCTTAAAAATTGGAACGTGCATGGGTTGTGCAAAATTGCTTCTGAATTTGTGAGAGTGCAAGAACAGTATAAGGATATGTAACTGCTTTTCAGACGAACAACCAGCCAGTAATATCATGATACAGCCTCTTATCGAATTGAGAGAAACGAAGATTGAATATATGAGTTGGACACGTGAAATTCTGCCACATATATTCTTTTTGACATATATATATATATATATATATATATATATTGAAAAGGAGGATAACCCCGGCCTCTGCATCAGGATGATGCGTACAGCTATATATTATTAATAGAGCAAAATCCAGCAGCCGAACACCATCGACCCGGAAAAAAAGCGAAAAACAAACCCCGAGGCCATATACCTTGCGACAGTAACTCCCCCAGATAATCACTAACCCTATGATACAAGACACAACATAAACGAAAAATACACAACTCCTAGGCTACCCCTTCAAGAAGGAATCGCCGCACGTGCGCCGATGATGGCGAGTCCACAACAAGGTTGAACTTCGGATTCTCATCCGAAAAGCAAAGCTTCAATCCAACACCTTCAGCAAGGACACGACGCAGGCGCGCGGCGACATAGCCCGATCAGAGATCTTGTGTTTCCACCAGAGTGCATAAGCTCATCGTTGAAGCTGTTTGTACTATCCGCCTTTATCTGTCTACCGACGCCTCGATAGCTGGATGCCTTTGGAGGAGACAACGGAAGACAAAGACGTCCCATACCGCCCGCCTCCCGCTACTGTCGCACCACTGTCGATCTAATAACAACAGGCTAAACTTGACACCTCCGCCAGAGCCGCCGTGCATCACCTGCCGGTAGGCAGGCATGACTTGACGTCTCCGTATAAGACGTCGTGCGTAGCATCCGCCGGTAGCACATGCACCGGTGGCTTCACCTACCGTTGACAGACACCGCCCGACAACTCCGTGAGAGGCTCATGTGTCACCTGCCGAGCCGCATCGAACCGGTCTGTTGATGGAGGGGACGTCCCGTACCGCCACCAGTCTCAGAAGGCCGTCACCATCTCGAGATCCGGACTCCGAGTCACCCACATGACCCCGCAGTCCGCCACCGTTAATGAAGAGGGGCCGCCGCCCCGATTCCGGGCGCTACAGGGAGCACCCACCATCGCGCCAGCCGCTGTCGTCTCCCATACAACGGCAACCGCCACCGCGATCCTGCATCAAGCACTGTTGGCGCCGGAGGAAGCTTCGGCCGCCACGCGCGTCCTGCGACGAGCCCAAACACGGGATCCCAAGATCCGCCGGTGGCGGCGCCGCCACAAGGACCCACCACCTGGCACGTCATCACCATGGTCGGATCCGGGTCAGCCGTTGCCATCGCCACCGCCTAGACCGGATCCGGGCTGGACGCCGCCGCCGCCACCGCCACCGGCCACACCCAGCCCCACCTCCATCTTCTAGCCACGTCCAGCTGACCGGCACGCCACGCCCAACCGATCCACCCGTGCCGCCAAGCGCCGCCGCTGGGATCCGCCGTGCCGCCGTGCTATGGATCCGCAAGATGCTGTCGCTGAAGTCGTCGTCCCGCCCTGCCCGGCATCGTGCGAGAAGGGATCCCCACCGCCACCTACGCCGACCGGATCGGCGGCGCATGTCGGCAGCGGCGAGGGAGGGAGCTGGAGGCGGCGGACTAGGAGCGGCGCTGGGGTTCGCCCCCTTGGTCGCTCGCGGGAGCGACGCGAGGGGGTTACGCAAGAGAGTCACCGACGTTTCACATCCTATCCTTTTTGATATATGCTATTTATTCTAACATTTGGTACATGCATGAATAGTTTTACTGTATGGTTTAAAATTATATGTCCATCAACAGTTTCTAGTTGAGTCACTGAAGCATCACAAGCTTGTGGTACTTAATCATGAGGAAGTAACAAAATTTGAACTTATGATCCGTAAGAGAGCTTTCCTGAAATAGACGTGCAACAAACATCAGTATTTAAGTACTTTGACGAAACTGACAATGTTGACTATGGAACTGTTCATTTTTCTTTTGCCGAAACACACATGAATAGTTTCTTGTCCTCCAAACTGCCTGTGATTTGGTGATGCAGAATGAGCCAACACAAAGAAATGATTATTATCAATAAACATTCGAAATGTAGATTAGTTCACTGTAATATCAGAACATCAGTCATTGTAGAACTTTTCTTCTGCCCATTTGGATTGTACTCCACAATGTCTCCTGTGTTCGGCAAAGTTTGCCCTAGAATGTTTATTGTTGTTCAGATGCTATCAACACCTATAATCATATTCATGAGCCTTGTGGCTTATGAAATCTCATGTCTGAATCCTCCTAGTCAATATCAGTTGTGCTTAAATGAATTGTTTTGTTAATTAAGTTACTTACCCACATCTTATTCTCATTGTGCAGTACTACTGGTTGCCCCTTTGGCGAGGGTTGCCATTTCCTCCATTACTTCCCCGGTGGCCACCAGGCTGTTGCAAAGATGAGCAACCTAGGTGGCCAAGCATTTGCACATCCCCAAGGAAGAATGCCCGCAGGATCTGCTGTTCCAGATGGCCCCCCTACACCAACTGTCAAGACTAAATTGTGCAACAAGTATAACACTGCGGAGGGATGCAAATGGGGTGACAAGTGCCACTTTGCACATGGTGAGAGGGAGCTCGGCAAGCACACGTTCATCAACAATTCCATGCCACCCCATATGGGACCAAGGCCCACCGGCCACTTTGGACCTCCGGCAATGCCCAGCCCTGCCATGACCACCCCAGCAGGCTTCGGGGCTTCTTCCACAGCCAAGGTCAGTGTCGATGCGTCCCTCGTAGGTGGCATCATCGGGCGGGGTGGAGTCAACACAAAGCAGATATCCCGAGTCACCGGGGCCAAGCTGGCCATCCGGGACCACGAATCAAACGAGGCCTTGAAAAACATTGAACTCGAGGGTACGTTTGATCAGATCAACAACGCCAGCGCCATGCTCAGGGAGCTGTTCTTCAGGATCAGCGGCGGCGCCAACGCCCCTCCGCCGGGCGAGAGCCTGGCCGGAGGATCTCACCGCGCCAGTGGCGGTGGGCCGGGAAGCAACTTCAAGACCAAGCTGTGCGACAACTTCACGAAAGGATTGTGCACGTTTAGCGACAGATGCCACTTTGCCCATGGCGAGAAGGAGCTGCGCAAATCGGCTGCCGCATGAGGTTAATCTACCCAGCTATTAGTTAGTGTAACTGTGAACCCTTGAGGGCTGAAGATTTATTCTCTGATTGTCTTTGGGAGAATGCCATCGATTTTATGGGTTTCAATCTGTCATGACTTCTATCAGCCTTTTGTGGTTTTATTAGTAGAAAGCTTGACATGTTTCATTTCCTACAAGTCGGCATCTGAACTTTCATGTTGAAACCTGAACGTCCGCGTGATGTTGCCGAGGCCGGGGAAGACATGTTAAGTTACAGAGTCACAACACTGACCAACAACGGGATTTCCCTCAGACTCCTGGTCTGCGTTCTCAACGTTTGTGCTCGCCTGGGGAGAAGATCCGCACGCACGCACGCTCGTGCAGCTCCTGGGGAGTTGAAGAAGCTCTGCTACGTCTCGCGCATGCAGCGGTTGAAGCAGTTGCACCAGCCAATCGTCGCCATGCATGGATCAACGTCACAATCGACGCCTCGTTCGCATTAATCAATCGCTTCAATTACCAGTAACGCTCCCCAGCATGGCAGCATAGGAGGGGCGTCGCCGGCCGTACGTCCACTGGCCTCCCCCACCCCCGGATTATTTACAATATATCGCGGAGAGATTCAGTGAACCACAGTAAATGTATTAGGCTGAAAATTTCCGCCGCCGGCGAGATGAGCTCGGCCTCGGAGCCTCGTGATGACGCCACTATGCCGAGGTACGCTCGTTCGTTCGTACAGCGACCGTCGTGCGGTCTGCCGACTGACGGAGGCATGCGCGTCGTTAATTCCTTCCCGACTTAATTATGCGATTAATCTGACCGGACGATGGTTGCAAGGCGGACGGAGAGGATGGCGTACTCGAGGGAGCTCCTGCTCGCCGTCGGCAGCTTGGAGGCATGCAAGCTGCTGCCCGCCGACGCCGACTTGTCCAAGCACCCCGATGACGCGGCACTGTGGGCTCCTTCCCAAACTCTGGCTGCCCGCTCGGCTGGAGGTGCACCTGGAGGCCTAGGGGATCAGGAACTGCCTCGGCGAAACCGAGGTGAGCGAGCCAAATGAGTGCAGACGAAACTGGCTTGCTCGTTTCCTCTCCAGATTTTTCATTCTACGATGCGTATACTGTATGTAGTACTTACTGTCGTATGAACTTGGAACCGCATGACCGATTGTTTTGGTGTAACAGAGCCGGAGGCGTTTGAAGCAGGCGCAGGAAGCAAATCCAAGCCATGCGTCAGGTTCTTCAGGTAATCCCTTTCTGGGACAGCGTTAAATGAACATGATGGGCGAGTTGGGTGAGATGAGTTGTATGGATCGGTTCGACTCGATGGTTCTCAAGTTTGCCCAACTTGTATTATACCAACATTGTTGTTTGCATTCTGATTGTAGTGTCTCAGCTAGTCACTGAACCACCAGCTTCCCTGATACGGGATGTGATCACTTTCTTGTTCCCCATCGTGCAGCACCGCAGGTTGCCGCTTTGGCTCCAAGTGCCACTTCATCCACGACATCCCGGGCGGCTCCCAGGCCGTCGCAGAAACGAGCATCCCGAGTGGCCCAGCTCCGGCAGCACAATGCGAGGAGGAGCTTGCCAGGCTCAATCCAACGCCACCACCCATGGGCATGGACCAACCAAGCCCCACCCCCACAGGTGACCATGCACTTAAAGCACCGACGCCGCCCAACGCAGCTCCGGCGAGCTTCGGCGCTTGGGCGACGGCCAAGATCAGCGTGGACGCGTCCCTCGCAGGCGCCGTCATCGGGCGGGGCGGAGCGACCATAAAGGAGATATCCCGGGCCAGCGGCGCCAGGCTGCGCATCCGCGACCACGAGCGGGACGCCGGCTTGAAGAACGTGGAGCTGGAGGGCACGACCGACCAGATCAGGCACGCCAGCGCTATGGTCTGGGAGCATCTGCCGGTGCCGGGCGGAGGGCAGTACAACGGCGTCAAGACCAGGCTGTGCGCGCACTTCGCCAGAGGGTCCTGCACCTATGGCGACGGCTGCCGCTTCGCCCACTGCGAGAGCGAGCTCCGCAGGCCGGCTCCTGCTGCTCGAGAGCCGTGTGGTTGGTAGCCATCTACCAACCGCCGGATGAGATCAGTGGCCGGATGGGATCGGTGTAACTCTAAACTTGGGATTATGCCGTCGAGTTTATGGATTCCATATTGCATTTTAGTCATGACTCTTATCAGCATGTTCTGTTTTTAGTACTGTAATCCATTTTCTCAAGTATCTGTGCTATAAAAAATTGAGAGGTTTCGGGATACACTGTACTACCAAGTATTAAGTTGATCCAATGGTTAATATGATTTCCCTCAGAGTTTGGTCGAAGGCTAACTTGGTAACGTGGAATTATGCTTTCACGTGAATTCAAATAGTCAAAGGCGCAGATGCAGGTCTATTGACAAACCTATTGAGCCTGGCGTGAGGACAACCCCAATGATTTGACTAATTTGATCTTCTTATTGTTTCGAGATTTGAAGCAGCATTGATCGAGATGTTGAGGTCTTGAGGAGATCGATTTGCTACCCAGTAGCGGGCCAACAACCTAGATTGAGGATTTGTAACAGCAGACAAGCAACGTCCAAAGTGAATCAACGAATCCTGAAATTCTAATCTACTTTCTTTAGCTTGCTTTTGGTGGAAATGGTTGCATGATTTATAATAATTAACTACCCCAAATGCCCTTGAAGCCTGGATATACCATCAGAATTCTTCTGTAGTATTGCCTAATCTAGACCGTTGGTCGGGAAAAATGAACGATCTCAGGTAATTTGATGTACATAATCACATAACTCAGGGTGATGCTCCTACCTGCTCAAACACAGAAAAAAGACTAGACTGCTGTAGCGGCGTGGAACAACCATGAAAGGCCCGCGCCTCATGCCAGGTTGCGGCATCATCATCGCCTGGTGGCTTTGCCCTCTACGTGATAAATTTGAACAATGCCCAAAGGACGACCATAACGACGACGATGGTGGCCAGTAGGAGCCTGCCGATTTTCAGAACTTGCTGGCCCTTGAAAAAATATGCAACTGACAACCAAGGAAGAAGGTGGAAACGATATGGTCTGGAACAGTGGAGGTGAGAAGCCCCGGATGCGGGAAAGATATAAAAAGGACTCAAAAAATTTCCCATCTAAGCCCTCCCATAAAAATAAGTTCATCTCAAACATGGGGTGGGGGCATTGCCCCCCTCGGTTAAATATTTCGGCCTCTGCCACCATAGTTGGTATGTTGTATTCGTGTTGTAAGGGCTTGTTTGGTTCCAATAAGTCACCTGACTTATAAGTCAGGTGACTTAAAACCAGTGACTTATAAGTCACGCCTGTTTGGTTGTCATCTGACTTATAAGTCACCTGACCACACCTTCCCACACCAATTCACATCATGCAGGTGGTGGGACCATGCAAAAGTGGGTGACTTATAAGTTTTAAGTTGGGGTGGAGCAACTTATGACTTATAAGTTGGATCTGTTTGGCAAAATAAGTCACTTTTTTCACTTTTCGACTTATAAGTTGGTGATTTATTTGGAACCAAACAAGCCCTAATGAAGGAAATATGCCCTAGAGGCAATAATAAAGTTATTATTTATTTCCTCATATCATGATAAATGTTTATTATTCATACTAGAATTGTATTACCCAGAAACATAATACATGTGTGAATACATAGACAAACACAGTGTCACTAGTATGCCTCTACTAGACTAGCTCGTAAATCAAAGATGGTTAAGTTTCCTAACCATAGACATGAGTTGTCATTCGATTAACGGGATCACATCATTAGGAGAATGATGTGATTGACATGACCCATTCCGTTAGCTTAGCACTTGATCGTTTAGTATGTTGCTATTGCTTTCTTCATGACTTATACATGTTCCTATGACTATGAGATTATATAATTCCTGCTTACCGGAGGAACACTTTATGTGCTACCAAACGTCACAACGTAACTGGGTGGTTATAAAGGTGCTCTACAAGTGTCTCCGAAGGTACTTGTTGAGTTGACGTATTTCGAGATTAGGATTTGTCACTCAGATTGTCGGAGAGGTATCTGTTGGAAATATGCCCTAGAGGCAATAATAAAATGGTTATTATTATATTTCCTTGTTCATGATAATTGTCTATTGTTCATGCTATAATTGTATTAATTGGAAACCGTAATACATGTGTGAATACATAGACCACAACATGTCCCTAGTGAGCTTGACTAGCTCGTTGATCAATAGATGGTTATGGTTTCCTGACCATGGACATTGGATGTCATTGATAACGGGATCACATCATTAGGAGAATGATGTGATGGACAAGACCCAATCCTAAGCATAGCACAAGATCGTGTAGTTCATTTGCTAAAAGCTTTTCTAATGTCAAGTATCATTTCCTTAGACCATGAGATTGTGCAACTCCCGGATACCGTAGGAATGCTTTGGGTGTGCCAAACGTCACAACGTAATTGGGTGGCTATAAAGGTGCACTACGGGTATCTCCGAAAGTGTCTGTTGGGTTGGCACGAATCGAGATTGGGATTTGTCACTCCGTGTGACAGAGAGGTATCTCTGGGCCCACTCGGTAATGCATCATCATAATGAGCTCAATGTGACTAAGTAGTTAGTCATGGGATCATGCATTACGGAACGAGTAAAGTGACTTGCCGGTAACGAGACTGAACGAGGTATTGGGATACCGACGATCGAATCTCGGGCAAGTAACATACCGATTGACAAAGGGAATTGTATACGGGATTGCTTGAATCCTTGACATCGTGGTTCATCCGATGATATCATCGTGGAACATGTGGGAGCCAACATGGGTATCCAGATCCCGCTGTTGGTTATTGGCCAGAGAGCTGTCTCGGTCATGTCTGCATGATTCCCGAACCCGTAGGGTCTACACACTTAAGGTTCGGTGACGCTACAGTTGTTATGGGAATTAGTGTGTAGTTAATGAATGTTGTTCGGAGTCCCGGATGAGATCCCGGACGTCACGAGGAGTTCCGGAATGGTCCGGAGGTAAATA